ACATCCACAACATGGGCGACACAGTGAGCTGCATGGGTGAAAACTTCAGGTTTTTGTCTACTCTTGTGTGGTTTCAGCAGTAAAAGTAGAAGAATGCTAAATGTCACTTTCCCTTTCCCACTGCCAGTCTCAGGTAATGCAGAGCATAGTGTTTGTTTAATTTCTTGGTAGCAAAATGATGGATATAAATATTTGGCGTTTGCATCTTGACTACTGAAATATAAAATTTAGAAGGATTGAATGTTTGACTGCATTACCCTTAATCAAAATCAAGACTGATTAATTTTGCTTAAAATTTGGCTCTGCATTTCCTTTCTAAAATGTCCTTCAATCTTAAATTAAAAAAGCTATTTCCATTGCTGACAAATTGGAATTGGCTTAGAGGAGAGTGTAATGCAAGGCAACAGGCATCGCTTATGTAAACTTCTCTTGCATAGGTGCCGCTTGTCATAAGCATAGCAAATCCTGGCTTGCCTCTTGAACAAGCTGCACAAAGCATTGACTATTTCTTAAAGCCTGTTAAAATGCTTTTATATCCTACTTAGCATTACAGATTTCAAGAATACTAACTTATTTTAGTAGAAAGCTTTTTAATGGTGTGTTTTTACACAAAGACCTTATCTGCATTTTAAAAAAACGAAATAGGTGCACTGGTGTAGTAATAATTAAACAGACTCACTTGGTGTGATACGTGGCCTGAGCATCGAGGTCAGCCTACTCATTGCACTGTCATCGCACAGTTACGTTTCGGTTCTACTTTTGTGTTTTAGCAGTTCTGTTTTCTCACCCGCTTGCTTTGTACACCTCTGCCAGCGAGCCAGAGCCCTAGTATTACATTTGCATTGTACAGGTATGAACAACTCCGAAACGTAAAGGCAATTGAGAACGGAGCTCATTTTAAAGCGGTCTTAGCTGCTAAAAGCAGCTTTTTCCTTTTTATTTGTAATTGAATCTCTGTGCTTGGAACTGAACAGCTTTCTTCTCTCTGCTCTGTAATCATATTTATAGAAAAATGGAAAACTGTGGCCAAGACTAGCAATCACATGATAACACAGCAGCTTTTATTTGCTACATCTGGAAACTTACCTTGCAAGTAGAGTGCTTTTATCTCCACTCAGGTGTTGAGCCATTGCTCTGCCTGTTCTGCTAACAACCTCACAACCTCTTCCCATCTCTTGTTCTCTGCAGCCATACCATCCGTGTTTGACTTGGCACTACACATGAGCAGACTTGTGAAATTGTAAGGGGGGTGGGGGTGGGGGTGTTTTGTTTTGTTTTGTTTTTAAAGTTCATCATGAGCGAAGTATTACCATATGTTTCAGATGCTTTATTTGATATGCTGGACTTCTCAGACTTTCCACAATTAAACTTTTTTTTTTAAAGCAATTTAAGCAAGATGAAAAAATGTTCATATCACCTAGGATTCCCTTCTCTTGTCCTTCTTAGACTGTGGTTTTAGATTTAAAAACACTGTAGGCATTGACACTACCTAAAGGTGGAAAACAGTACTGATAACAAAACAGAGAAATTAATGGTTAGACTTCCTTAAAAAAAATTAATGCTTCCAGTTAATGCATTGTTAGGCATGGCAGCTTACTCCATTTTAAATTAACACAAGCCTTAGTCAATGCAGCGTGATGCTTGCCTTAACTAGTTAGGTTTTGAAGCTTAGTACCTGTAAGTTTTTCTTGGAGGTGGTACACGTCCATATCAGCATTGGAATTGCTAATTGTATTCAAAGCTCAAGTCATGTCATTTGGGAGAAACTCGGGACTCCCTTCCTGCTTGAGGTGAGGGAGTGGGAACTCAACAAAAACACATGCACACGAAAAAAACGTTGTGCATACACTTGGGCCGTGTGTTTTAAATAGCTTGCATCCATAATGAAGACTGACAAGCCCAAGTGAGGTCTGTGGAGCCTGAGACACCTCCCGAGCCGGCGGCATGGTGGCACCCCTCAGCATCAGGAGCGGGTTTACAATGACCTCCCTTGTCCTTGGCGAGCTGTGCGGGCGCAAGGTGCCAGCGCGGTCGCTGGAGCCCGCTGGGCCGCCTGCTTGCTTGGGGAGCCTGCTCCATGCATCTCTCAGGGAGGGCTTTTCTCGGGCTGTTTTTATTCTAGCTCTCCAAGCTGTGGCTGCCTCTACAGGTGTGCCTGGACCGTGGAGGAAGGGAGGGCATCCACAGGTCCCTCCTGTGCTCCAGCTCCCGTGTGATCCTGTAAACTGTGACACCAGGGGAAGGTGCTGAGCCAGGGCGCGGTGCATTTGTATGCCCTGAAGTGCTTGCATCTTGAGATGACAGGCATGATTTATCTGGATGTTTCTTTTTTCAGCCAGGAGTTTCTTTTTGACCGAATGGAAAAAGAGCTTAATCCTTTTCTCGACTTCTCTTGCTTGCTGCTTCTTCACTCACAGCAAGGAAAATAAAAGAGAAGACTAAGGAGGAGAGAGAAAAATACAGAGGGGTGTTTAATTCTATGCATTATGAAAGAGAGAAAGTACATATTCTTTTTTCAAGATACATTACTTTTGTTTTGGGGGAGGGGAGGTGGTTGCCTTTCCATGGAAAACACCATTTTTAAATTGCAAATTTTTACTGTCCTGAGGAATGGTAGTTGATACAGGTGTACTGCGAAGGACTTTCACACGGGTCTCCGCTCTGACAGATTTACTCTCAAGTGTAGCTTTTGATGGGAGCCCTAAATAAACCAGTGCTTAAAATCAGCATGTCGCACAGCCGACGGAGGTGAGGGAGTGTAAGATGGAGGAGGCACACCTCCCTGTGTGCTGAGCACTCCTCCTGCTCAGCCCAAATCCTGGGGGTACCGTGGCAGGCACCAGCTCTCCCAGTAGCTCTGTGGTCCCATCAATGGTGACTGTGCCTGCCCGTCATGCATGAGGGGATACGGCCGCTGCATTGGGTTGCTGGTCTGGGGGAGGCCAGGCACATCAGGGACCCTGGAGCTGCCTCAAGATGCCCCGAGGTGAGGGTCTGCGTCCCTCTGCAGAACAGCTGGCCCCACAGACCGCCGGCGATGCTCCCGGTGGTGCAGGAGCATTGCTTGCAAGCACTTGTTGTCTGTATGCTGACGTACCAGGAGGAGTGTGCCAGAAGCACTGCTTGCTTTCACCTCTAAAAAAGAATTTATTTCAGTAGCCTGCAAGTTCTTCAGGTGACTGATCTAACCCTTTAATGCCCTCCTTCCCCAGCGGTTTTGGTGGTTGTGTGTTTTTGTTTTCACTGAAGATGAAAGCTTTGCATCACGGAATAGGTGCTGCCAAGTGAGCTGGAAGAGAGCTGTAGATCCTGATGCTGGAGGAGTGCTACGTGTTGGCATTCCCCCCCCACCACCAGAGATTGTTGTCACATTTAGCAGACCTCTTTAAGTAAACGTTTGCTTTGTAAATGGCGTTGGTTCGGTATTTAATGGCATGCAGGGATTATGCTGGCAATAATTATAAAGGTAGGATGCAAGTGAATTGACAGGGGAGATAAAACAGATTAAACCTCCAGCGCATAATATTTATGTCCCAGCCTTCTGGGTACCGTGATAACAAAGGCCATGTTACATATACTTCACACTTGCTTCTTTCACCACTCAGAGACTATGAGTCCAATTGCTTTGTGGGTGACTTGGTTATCTCTTCATTTTCAGGGAATAAAAAAGGTCTGTGGAAGTTTATGTAGTGATAAAAAGATCAACAATGGGACTTTGTTAGGGACAGGACAGGGAGGGGGTGATTTCAGATTTTGTCAGAAGTCATTTCTAATTGCAGGATGTTTTTTTAATGAGTAGGCACATGTCCTTTTCCTTGATGTGGAGGGCGAAGACAGTATGGGGAGAACTAAGGCAGGGGAGACGTGAAAAACTCCTAGTGCATATAATATTCTCACTGACAAAATCTGACTGCTTCACATTCACTGGCATTTGCTTCTGTGAAACCCATGCTTTGGTTGCGAGCTGGAGCTGTAACCACAAGGAACCATGTTGAGTGAAACTGTGTGTCACTTGTTGAATGCAGATTGGACGTGACCTGTCATGCTGCAGAGCTCAAATCCCAGATATTTAAAAGGCAATAGGCTTGTTTGTTGACTTGTTGGGCAAATGTTGCTGCATAGTCCTTACTGCCTGCAGCATAGCTGCATTTCCATTACCTTTGATTGTTTAACGCAAGTCTACTTTATGTGAGAGACTTTTGTTTAGCTGAATTTGGGATTTGAAAACTTAAGAAAAACAAGAAATCATAGCAATAAAGTGTGGGTAGGAAAAGGTGTTGCTTCTGCATTTTTTTGGGGGGCACACTGGCTGTGAAGGGGGTATATGAGTGTAAGAAATGTTGAACTGTTTCAGGTCTTCCTCCTCTGACCCTCCTCCCCTTCAAGGAGCACTAGTTTTCCTTTTAAAACAGTATATTTCTTATAACAGCTTTGAGAAAAATCAGTGAAAGTTTACGGAAAGGCAGCACGGAGAAAATTCATACATGGGCATTTGAGTGGCGTGCAGTAGATGTTTTAAGCAGTAGTTAAAAAAGATGCTATTTATACATTTGCAGCTGCTTGCAACTTAGGTCTGATTTAGCCTCTCTTTGTCGTTGGTTTTTTTAAAATGTCTTTTATTTTAGTAGTACTTTTTAGTAAAAATGAAATGGTATAAAGCCATTGAAATACTCTCTGTCGGACAATGGGAAGGTTGTCAGAAGGCTGTGGTCTCGGCTGCCACTTTGCTGTCTGTCCACGTGGGACGCTCAGTTCTCATGCGCTGTATTCTTTAAACTTCCAGTGAACTTAATAGCCAGAAACTGGTAGAAAGTGACTGTGATTGAAATGGCCTTTCTGTGGTGATAGGTTTTTGACGCGCTGTGGCTTTGTTTTGCATTTAGCAGGTTCTTAGTATCATGGGGCAAGAGGAAGGAGGCTGTCCTAATGCAAGAAGAATGCTAGTTCTTAAGCTTGCAGCAGTCAGTAAGTCATTTCTGTTTTATTCCTTTCCTTTCCAGGTGTGACATCTGTTGTATTACCTTTCGTACTCATCGGGGCTTACTGCGCCATAATGCAGTTATCCACAAGCAGCTTCCCAGAGATCCCATGGGAAAGCCTTTCATTCAGAACAACCCTTCAATTCCAGCAGGCTTCCACGACTTGGGATTCACGGACTTCTCCTGTAGGAAGTTCCCCCGCATTTCTCAGGTACTCTCTGTTCTTCATAGCTTAAGGTACCAGCTGATACAGTGCATATCTTCTGAATTCATTGAAAGACTCATCCGTGATGAGGCAGGGACTGGGTGTAGAATATTTTGTGGAAAGCACATTACCACTGTCTGTGTAGGTTTCAAACACTTTCTACCTTTCCTTTTTCTTTTTTCGTCTAAAGAATATTGGGGTTGGTTTTTTTCAGCATTCTAGTGTGAGTAACTACTGGTGTAAAGATCTATAAAACTATTTTAAAGGAAAACTTCAGTGATATTAGATCCTTGCCCCTTCCAGCCTGCCCATTAGTTCATTCCTTCCCAAAACCATACCACATCTAAAATCAATAGGGAGGACACATGGTAAGGAAGACATTATTTATTTTAATTTACTGTAACAAGGATGTAGTTGTGGTGTGAAAGATTTTATCATGAAAAACTTTGGGAAGTCACCTTACTTACTAAACAGTGACATCTTCAGTGTTTTCTTCACAAAACACTCCCAGGCACCTTTCCACTATGTTCCTTACGTGAGGTGTGAAGATTTTGCACCTTTGAGGGACAGTGGCTGGGGAGAGGCAAGGAGGCAGTCTGTAAATGTTTTTCTGAGAGCCATAAAGCTTTCTATTGGATGGTATTATTCCTCCCTCTGTCAAACCTTGCCTGCCTTAGTTAGTTTGGGTGTGCATGAAGATGCTTATCTATTTAAAAAAAAAAAAAAGAAGAAATCAATAGCACAATCCAGCAGGACCATGCTTATTCAGTATCTGCACTTTTCTTATTCTACTTGGATTAAGGCATTGATTTCAGCTCTTCTGGCTGCAATGTGGTAGAACTGAAATTTGCTGCTGGTCCAGGGGAGCATGTAGGTCATTCTGTAATTCTAGTAGAGTTTTGGTGTAAAAGTTACAAAATCAGGAGAAGAGAGAACTTTTTAAACAACTTGGTTTTATTTCTTTTGTAATTAATGGGAGACATTTAAAGTTATTAAAGGATTTAAATGTTGGGACTTTCCTTTTGTAACAATTTTGCTTGCACTGTGGGGCAAGACCTATGAAGTATCTGAACAAAGTGTGTAGAGTATATAAAGATCTTGCCAGCCCTCTACTTAATCACTTGTGCTCTTCTTTTGATGTGGAACTTGCTCTTCTTTGCAACATGTGAGCTATCTGGGTAGCATTTAAACACAGCATTTGGATTCGTGATAATTTTTAGGGACAGGTATAATATCCGTTTGTGAGCTTAGTATTTTTCTTGGGAGAACAAATGTAATCAGACTTCACTAACGAAAAGCCTTTCCGCTTTGGGCTATGCGTTTCATTGATTTGCTTTTCGGGGACATTATTTTGATTGGTTTATGTCGTTTTGCCTTCTTGGATGCCTTTGTTTTTTTTTCTCCTGTCCTCCTAGTTTCTTTGTAGTAATAAAGCTAAAGGAGGTAGTCTTACTGTCCAGCTTACTGAAGTTTGCTGTATAGTCTACTGAGGCTTCTGTCCTGTCAGTGAAGTGAGAGAGGTTTCTGGGAGGGAGGTTCAGGATGGAAAAGTATTTGAGAGTCTGAATAGCCCTCTGAAGGAGTTTGCCTTTATAGAAGGGAACTTTTGGAGAATTAGCCACTAATTCAGATACACCACTTAGGTGACTAAAGGCTGTGGAGCAGGAATATCTCCATGCCAGGTAGGTGGTGGCTGCTCTAAACTCCTTAACTTGGGCAGTGGAAGAGAGAGTGAACTGGTTTTGTTTTGCAGCAGCATGTGATGCCTTTCCAGTTTGAGATGTCTACTCTAAATATTTTTACATGTCTTGCAGGTCTGGTGTGAAACGAATTTGCGAAGGTGCATCAGTGACTTCCATCGATTTATTTGCGAGACGTGTAACAAGGCATTCCCCATGCTTTCAGCACTCAAACTGCACACAGAAACTCACATAGTGGATCAGGGAAAAGACAAGCACAAGCCACAGTCCACGACCCCACCCAGTGAGAACCCAGACCAGAAAGCCTTCATGGCATCCTTGGGCCTACAGTACACCAAAGACATCAAGCCTGTCAAGCAGGAGGACAATACACAAGATGAAGTCCAAGAAATGCGGCTCAGAGCACTGAAGAGTAACCTACCTCAGGAACCCAGCAGCACCGGTCTGCTCAGCCTCTCTCCTCTGGAAGCTGCCTCTATGGGAGGGTCATTTTCAGTCCTTCCCCCTACAAAAGAAAACATAAAGCTCCTCTCGCTGCAGCCTTTCCAGAAGGGTTTTATCATCCAGCCTGACAGCAGTATTGTGGTAAAACCCATCTCCAATGAGTCTGCCATTGAGCTGGCAGACATTCAGCAGATCTTGAAGATGGCTTCTTCCGCTCCTCCTCAAATCAGTCTTCCTCCACTTTCTAAGGCACCTTCTGTCCCTGTGCAGTCCATTTTCAAGCATATGCCGCCGCTGAAGCCAAAGCCTTTGGTAACGCCCCGAACAGTCGTCGCGACCTCTACACCTCCTCCTCTTATCAGTGCCCAGCAAGCCTCCCCTGGCTGCATCAGCCCAAGCCTCCCACCTCCGCCTCTGAGGCTGATCAAGAACTCGGTGGAGTCCTCCTCCAACTCTCACCTCCCCCAGCCAGGAGCCAAATCGAGTCCTTCCTCACAGTTGCTCCTCCAACCCAAAGTAGAGCCTTTAACTCAGCACGAGATGAAGACACAACTGGAGCAGGACAGCATCATCGAAGCTCTCCTGCCTCTGAGTATGGAAGCCAAGATCAAGCAAGAGGTCACAGAAGGAGACCTCAAAGCCATCATCGCAGGGGCAGCGAACAAGAAAGCCCCAACCATGAGGAAAGTTCTGTACCCCTGCCGTTTCTGTGACCAGGTGTTTGCCTTCTCTGGTGTCCTGAGAGCTCACATCCGTTCTCACTTGGGTATTTCCCCATACCAATGCAATATCTGTGACTACATCGCAGCTGACAAGGCAGCACTGATCCGGCACCTGCGGACGCACAGCGGGGAGAGGCCTTACATCTGTAAAATCTGCCACTACCCATTCACAGTGAAAGCCAATTGTGAGAGGCACTTGCGAAAGAAACACCTCAAAGTGACCAGGAAGGATATAGAGAAGAACATCGAATATGTCACCAGCAATGCCGCAGAGATGGTGGATGCCTTCTGCTCCCCTGACACTGTGTGCAAGCTGTGTGGCGAGGATCTGAAGCATTACCGGGCCCTCCGCATTCACATGAGGACGCACAGTGGCTGCCAGAAGAAGAAGCCATTTGAGTGCAAGGAGTGTGGCACAGCCTTTTCGGCCAAGAGAAATTGCATTCACCATATTCTCAAGCAGCACTTGCACGTGCAAGAAAGGGAGATTGAGAATTACATCTTAGCGGTGGACTGCAGTGCCCAGGAAAGCCAGACAGATCCTCCTTTATTGGAGGACAGCACTTACATGGACCGCAAGCCCATGACGCCTTTCCTGGAGCCACAAAACGGCTTCTTGCTTGGGACGTCATCTCACATTCCCATCAAACTTGAACCTGCGGGCAACTTCCCAATGGATTTTGACGAGCCGTTGGATTTCTCTCAGAAGAACAAAAACCTGAGTGCTGTGCAAGTGAAGCAGGAGAACCTGTTTGGCTCTTCTCCCTTGTCCCTCTACGACTGTTCCATGGAGCCCATTGACCTGTCCATCCCCAAAGCCCTGAAGAAGGATAAAGATGATGTCCCATGTGAAGCCAGGAATCAAGAATTGGCTGCTTCTGGAAACAGTGATAAAGCCTATAACTGTCTGCAGTGTCCTTTGGTTTTTGGTGCCAATGGGAACTCAGAGAAAAACAGGGCTGTCAGACATCCCCAGCCACTGAAAGGTTCATTGCATTTGACTGTCCCAATCATTTCCCCGGCTCTTCTTGGCAATTCTGCCTTGCTGAGACCCTTGAGGCCTAAACCACCACCACCACCTCTCTTGCCAAAGCCTCCAGTAACTAAAGAGCTGCCACCATTGGCTTCCATTGCACAGATCATTTCATCTGTGTCTTCTGCTCCCGCTTTGCTGAAAACGGAGGCTGCAGATGCCAGTCCCAAGGCAGTGAGCAGCTCCACTGGGTGTGACAAATCAGGGAATGCCAAAGCAAAAGTGACAATCGTGACCACCGTTCAGAGAGACTCCAGCCTGCCCAGTGACCTGACTCAGACATGTGATCCAGAGCAGTCTCCCATTGCCGATGCTGGGTTGACTAAGAAAAGAGGTAGAAAGAAAGGAACAAAAAATAAGCCTAAACTTAGCAGTGGTGTGGATCTGGAGTCAAGTGGGGAGTTTGCCAGCATAGAGAAGATGCTGGCTACCACAGACACTAATAAATTTAGCCCGTTTCTGCAGTCCACTGACAATTTCAAGGAAGAAAGCGGCAGAAATGGAACAAGTGAGGATGAGAAGGAAACTGCCGAAGATAAGCTGCTCAGAGGGAAGAGGAACGCTTACTCAGACTGCGTGCAAAATATCCCCTGTCCTTACTGTCCTCGAGTCTTTCCATGGGCAAATTCCCTGCAGCGGCACATGCTCACTCACACAGGTAAGAGCCCCTTGTGCTTATGGTGGATTGTAGCCCCTGAGGATGTTCCTCATAGAAGGGCCTCCCCATGGAGGAATCTTCCTTTCTTGTCCTCTCTCTGATGTCTGAATGGTATTCTTTGTTACTTTGCAAATCCCTAGCCGTTGCTTGTTGTATAGTGGTGGTGGTAAATTTTTCGGTAATGGAATAATCTGTGTGCCTTTGAGTATCAGGGGGGCAAATGAAACTAGAACCCATTTGACTTCAGTGGCATAACTTAGCGTACCTGGAAAAATACTCTGGTTTCAGGTGTTCTGTTATTATTGTCTTATCTTGAAGGTGAACGTGTGTGTTGAATATTTCATTGTGCCTTATACAGTTTGTTTGGCTGCTTCCAGTGGCTGTTTGCCTGCATCAGCAATGATAAAAAGATCCATAAAAATGAGAGTAAGTAAGTATAGAATTGTGGCAGGAAAATAAAATAGTATAGTGTTTAGCATGTTTTTTTCTTGCGGTGGCTTTTATTTGACAGATCAAAGAAAAAGGATGTGAGAAACATCATCCTGAGCATTACGTAGTAGCTTGCCTCTAGGAAATGTTTCTTCTCAGTGCTTGACAACTAAAGGTGGGCTTGTGCCCTAAGGCGTGGAGATGTGTATGGAATCTTTAATATTGTGCCACTGTGTAAGTAACGTCAAACCTGGTGTAAACAAAAGGGGGAATTGGGGAGGGAGATTTATTCTAGGTTTGGGGTTATTTTTCATTCTTCACTGTAAAGGAAATACTGTGTTGAACGCTGTGCCCATTTGAAGTTCACTCCTTTTTCCACCCCCACTGTAATAAAGTAATCAGTAGATTCTCATCCTTCTTGGAGAGAGAGAGGACAGAGCTCTACTTGCTGTTGCTCCCTTTTGAGTCGGTCACAGTTGTTGACAGTATTTGCTTCATTATGCAGTCTCAACTCCTGGCGTAAAGAATAAAAGTTAGGGATATTTGTAAGAAACGTAGGGGACTTGAGTACAACCTCATAAAAGATAACTTAGTTTTTTTGAAGGAATTGAGGTTTCCTGAAGCAACTGATTCATGTCTGTGCTAAAGAGGGAAACCTGAAGAGGTAAAAGAGGTTAGCTAAGAGGTTTAAAGGGAATCCGAGCTGAGGAGCAGTCCCTATTGCAGTTTGCTTTGGGTGACGCGAGGACATAACTTGCAAGGTATCAGTGCAACAGTGAGGCTATTGTTTTCTGGCCTGCAGAGACCAAATTATTTCATCTTACTAAGCATACAGTTTACTTTCAGTGGTGAAGGAGAGCTCTTTATTCGTATCAATTGTTTTCTAACACCCTGCTCTCCAAAAAAAATATATAGTTACTGAAGTACTGTTCATGAGACAGAAAACAATAGAGAGGCTTTTCCCAGACTAAGGGGTTTGACCTGCTTATTGATGGCAGACTTCCAAGGTAGCAGCACTGGTGTAAACCCTTAATGAAGACAGGAAAATGCACTCGGCCATGAGTTATACTGGTAAAACTTGTCTCCCCTACCACCACCAGGCTTGGAAGGAGACACCATCCTTTCAGAAAGCCTGTGCTGCAATCCCCACAAGAAAGGCAAGCAACTGCAGCTGTAGCCGGGCTGGATCCTCAGTACAGATACAAGATTTTTGGTGATACTACGGCAGTGGCAATCATCAGATTCCGGTTGGTGTGCTCTGGCAATAATAATACTGAGCTCTTTTCTAATCATCGTAAGAGTTGCTGGAGGACCACCCCACAGCAAGCTTTGACTAGCCTTGGGGCATCTCCTTTCAGGTGACACTAGCACTCTGTTTCTAAACTGGGAGTTCACAGCAGCTCCCCTGCGGCAGCAGTGTAGCTGAGGCTTACTGGAGGGGAGAGGGAAAGGTAAGCTAGGAAGGTAGAGGAGATTTAGGCCAGGGAGGTGGTGCCAAAGGAAGCACTAGGATGCATTCAGGTGGAGTGAGCTCTGTGTTTCTGTGGTGAGTGGCGGGTGCTGGTGGCATGGGAGGAGTTTGGCAGCTGCGTGATAGATACAGCAGTTTGTTGGGTTTGTGTTCTGGGTGGGCGAGTTGGTTTTCTAATGGAGACTTCTACAGTGTCGTAGTGCAACGCACCATTTCTGTCCCCACCTATTGCACAGACAGTGACTTGTTAGATAGCTCTGTTTTTTAAAAGGAATTAAGAAAAAATTCTATTCACTAATCTTACTGTAAAGAGAAAAGGGGAACTTTGTTGTCTGGGCTTGATGGCTGCTCCCTGACCTGGGGAGAGAAGGGGCCAAGAGGCTGATGTGAATGGGATAGATGAGAGTTCTGGTGGCCTGCTTTCAAACTGCATGTATTGGGTATCTGCTCGATAGGGAATCACTGCAAGCAAGCTGGTCCCTGCTCCTATATTTCTGTAGTATCCTGCTATCAAAAAAACAAGGCAGTCATTTGAGCTAAAAAGTGGCAACTAGCTCTACTCCATCCATTTGCAGGGAAGTTGTTATTGGAATAATTTATGTAAGTGGTCTAAGCTAATAACGAGTGAGCATGGTTGAGGAAAGGTATATAATTTTGAGCATTTAAGTAGTATCTATATATTACCAGTTTTAAACTACCATGTTTATACAGACATTTTTGCAAGCGTGTCTTTCATGTTCAGTAAAATTTTGACATGGAGGACTCCTTCCATGCAGTGTCAAGATCATGTTTACCTGTTGTGAAAGTGCAAAACTACACATGCTACCAGTAACCCGCATCCCTCGCGCAACGAAAAGTCTGTCTCGTGAAAGCTTTCGCCCTGCTTATTCTTGCCTCAACACCACTGTGTGTTTTTTAGTTCAAAAGCATTTCCCTGAAGAAGCATACACCTTGATGGTTTTTCTTTTAATGCAAAGCTTACAAGTGGGGCACTGGGAATTTGGCATAGGTTGATTTTATACAGTGTTTAACACAGTACCTGTGTTTTGTTTGAACATGCTTGAACATTTGCTTTTAATATTTTCTTTCTCTTGATGTCTTTATTGTTTAATTTACTTTCCTATGTTCAACTCGGTTTGCCTTTCTTTTTTGCTCTTCTCTCCTGCTCTTGACTTTTTTCATTCTCAAAGCAGCAAGTAAGATGTGCCCTGCAGGTGGTGCAGTTAATTTTGCTCCTTTTATGGCATGTGCGTCAGACTAGGTTCAATATAAAATTAAAATAATGGTCTTTTTTGGCCATTAGTTCGTTACAGATAACCTAAATCTGTTTGCAAAGAATCACTTGAGGATGTTTTCAGACTGATACTGCCAGATCTTACTTGATTTTTTTTTGTAGAAAGTGAGATTTAATGGCAGAGGAGGGTTTTTTTTGTTGTTTTTATTTTGTTTTGCTCTTACAACAGGAATGAACTGGACAAGAAAAGATCTGTAAACAAAATAAAGTAATAAATAAATAGAATACAGTTACACCTAGCTCATGAACCTGAATGTTTCCTGTTGATTGGAGGACACAAATCCTAAAAAAAAAAAGGACTGGAGGCATTTTTATTCTTTGCTTTTATGACTTAAGTCAAAGTGAAATTGTAGACATCTTTACTTTGCAACATTTGTCCTTGCCATGGCAATAATGTGTTTCCATTAGGACAACAGTGGCAGGAGATATCTTAATTAAGGAATGATCTTCTTACATGCTGTGATTATTTAGATGACCCTTTATATTGGAAAAGATTCCCTTCAGATGACCGGCTTCCATGAAGTGTCCAGCCTAGACTAGTCCTGCTGTGCTGCTAACCAAATTTTACAGTCAGTTCAGAGTCAATATGTAGACACAGATGTATTTTAATCCAGGCCATGACTATTCTTACAGAAAAAGCTAATAATCAAATCACATTGCATGTAAACTGACTGTTTAGGTTACCCTTAAGTAGAGCAGTTGCCTTTAAGGGACAATACAGGAAGCAGAGAATACTGCTTTTTTGAATGATCTTTTTTGTGCCTTTAAAGGTGACATTTTTGGAAAGCGGTCTGGTTGCCATTTGGGAATAGGACTGTAACTTGGGGTGGGAGGATTGGAGTTTGCACAGTAAGCAGAATTTTTGTTAGGGTTTTGAGACCTCCAACTAGGATGTTTGTGTGGAAAGAAGAATATGTTGTCTGTTTTAAGTATTGGTCTGTATGACAAATATTTGGTTGATATGAAAGTTTTAAAGGCTGAAAATATGAGAAAATTGTGACCTGAGATGCAGGTTGAGTTTCAAGTAATTAATCCCCAGCTAATCCTGTCATTGCATGCTTGAAAAGAAATGTGGAAAGGAATTGGGCTATCATGAAGCAAAAGGATTTCTGCTTAACTTTGAAGTTCTGTTTTGTATTTGCATTGTGAATGAAGCCAAATAAAAGTGCAGAAACTGGTGGTATTCGTAACCATAAATTTATGGTTGACTTAGCAGGCATCTAAACAGAAAGAGTGACTTGAAAGCCTACAAAAAGCAGTGCCTTGATGCTTCTAAAAAGTTGTGTTGACACTGGAAGAAAATTAAGAGAAAGAAACAGTGCCTGAGATGTCTGCGAGATGCGGGGAATCCCTCGTATAGGTTGAGATGTTAATTAGGACAGAACCAACTTGCGGAAGATTAAAGTGAGAAACATACCCACAGTGTTGTGTCGAAGAGGCTGCTGGCTGTGAGGAGAGGGTTTTGTGTGTGTTCAGAGGCTTTGGGTGTGAGGTGGAAGGTGTGACAAGAGCTGATCTGCTTTTACAGGTAACTATCCTCATAATCTCTTCCTTCATCACAAAGATGTCTTGCAGGACCACTTTCCTCATTGCACTGCATGATCCTGGCTTTTCTTTCAATTCTTCCTGTGCTCAGTCCTTTCCCTTGTTCTAGTCATTTAAATGAATTACAGACACGAAGAACGTTCTCCTATGGGGAAGTAATTGATTGCTTATTCAATGTATGGGGCTTGATTCTACTGAAGACAATGCAAAGATGCCCCGTGGCTTTGATAGAAGTTATGTCAAATTCACATGGGTGGTAGA